ACACACACACACACACACACACACACACACACACACACACACACACACACACACACACACACACACACACACACACACACACACACACACACACACACACACACACACACACACACACACACACACACACACACACACACACACACACACACACACACACACACACACACACACACACACACACACACACACACACACACACACACACGCACACACACACACACACAAGCTTCTGTGCGAATTCACGCGGCTTTTCTCAGAGGTAATTACTGAGGTGTGCGTGCATCGAACGGCCGAGCCGAGCAACAATATCCCCCCGCCCCGCACACACAGGTGAGAACCTCGCATTTTATTATCGCAGGATCAGTGTGATCAGGTGCCGGAGAGCATTCACGAGCCATGGGCGAACGCAGATTGGCATTTAACGAGATAAGTAGAGGTGTGAGAAAGATGCTGAGGATCGGTTGGCTGAGGCTGGGTGTTGAGGATCGGTTGGCTGAGGCTGGGTGTTGAGGGTGGGGTGGGGTGGGGTTAAAGGTCAGAGTCTCAAGGATAAATGTTGGAAGATGGGATAGGGAGGAAGGGTGGGAGATAAAGGTTGGAATATGGGATGGAGAGTGAGGGTGGGTGGGGGATAAAAGTTGGAATGTGGGATGAGAAGGGAGGGAGGGTGGGGGAGAATCGGGAGGTACAGGTTGGAATATCGGATGGAGAGTGAGGGTGGGAAAATAGACCGAGAGCCAGGATGGGGTGTGAGGGTGGTGGGAAATACCTGCGAGATCTGGTAAGAGATAATTACAATAATACAACAACATAATAAACAAATTAGATAGAATTCACTTTACACCGAGATCGACCACCTACTTCAAACAATCGTACTGAACTCAAAACTTAGATCAATCTGGCCTACAAAAATCGTTATAGTGCGCGACAGACGCGAGCATTAACGAGTCATATGTTAATAAAACGCCATGTTGTGAAAGCACCGACCACGCACCAGACGTCAATTACACACCGCTACGACATTCAGTAGGTTCGATATTTAGTAGGTTCGATTGGCTGCAAGGAAACAAGCCGACAAAAGCCACCAAGCAAAGGTCACGGTGAACAGCTACTAAGCAGCAAGCCGCTACTTCTGCATTTTTCTGCAGCACTAGGTCAATTGTTTAAAGCAACTCGCCGTATAGACTTCAGTTAGAGGTCACATAACGGTACTAGTAGTAAGTGCGTATATATATATATGGTAGAGAGGGTATATATTGCGCCTATAGGTGGTAGAGAGGGTATATATTCCACATAGGTGGTAGAGAAGGTATATTCCACATAGATGGTAGAGAGGGTATATTCCACATATAGATGGTAGAGAGGGTATATATTCCACATAGGTGGTAGAGAAGGTATATATTGCGCCTAGGTGGTAGAGAGAGTATATTCCACATAGATACTATATACGGTATACTAGAGTAGTTATGCGCACAGATGGTAGCGAGGATATATTGCGCGTAGATAAAGACGATAGAAACGATGTATTATGACGAGAGCGAAGAATCACACCAGTAAAGTAGAGTGCGCTATTACTATTATCGCGTGTTGCTAATATATAGTAGCATAGTCATCACCAGCAGGCTGGCAAGAGAGGAAAACGCGAGCGAGGAAGCTAAATTATTCATTGAATCGACGATACGATATAATAATTGAACAGTAAACATATACGGGTAGCGGTAGAGACGAGCAGAGAGAGAGAGAGTCTCAGAGAGAGAGAGAGAGAGAAG